GGTGGAACGTGCATTGCCCTTGGAACCCCTGGATGACCGCATGGAAGAGAAGGTGTTTAAGCTCGACGTTGTCATTGCAGTTACAAGTGACACAAAGCCGCACATTGAGTCCGTTCCCTCCGTGAAGTTGTTAAGCCACCAGGTGAATGGGGTTTGTAAGGATATCATTGGTATTGTGAAACACATTCCTCGCCTAGAGGAAAGCCTACGCGCCCGCATTGCGGAGGAGACTGAGGGCGATAACGAAGCACTCAAACGGACACCATTTTCCTACATGAAATCTACCGAGGACAGTGTGGCTTTGCGTGGCACTTACTTTGAATACATGACGAGTGAACAAGACGCCATTCACTCACTGCGCCGTGTGCGTGAATCATTTGACGCTGTTGAAGAAAAGGTGCGGGACAAATTGAGCCAAACGTGGCAGCTACATCAGTCCGGTACCACGGATACTCTGTGGACGACGCAAAAACAAGATCGTCGTATCAAACAGGGCTGGAGACTTGAGGATTACCGCATTCATATGGACCACGTGGCACAACGACGCGAGGGTATCAATAAACAAGAAACCTTCTCGGATGTTCTCTTCTTGCAGCTTGATTTTACAAAGATGAAGGAAAGCTTCCGCGTACAATGTCAGTTGGTGATCAAGCACTATCACAGTCTCTTGTATGCGGATGCCAGGGAAGAGGTAGATCGCATCTACAACCACTTCAGCGCCACGGTACAAGCACTTACAAAAGAGCCTCAAACATTAGACGAGCTTGGGGACCAGATAAAAAAATGTGCCGCCGCTGTGGAATCGCTACCGGACATTTCTGCAAAGTTCGAACCCATCGCCGACACGTTTGTTTTAATCACAAACGATCTTTACAACCACGGCAGTGTTAGCCGAGAGGATGTGCGACGATGCGAGCAATTGCCAGTGGCGTTCGAGGAGTACTCGGAACAACTTGTAAAGGCACGCCAACTCCTTGCCAAGTATAAAGAACAGTTCCGAAATGACTTGGAGACGGACGTACGTGCGCTTGTGTCAAACTCATTTGCGCTCAGGCAGAAGGTA